ACACTGGGCACATGCGCACCAACATTGTTTACTTGATCTGGCAGTGGATGTCAGCGCCATCTTGTAATGGCAAATGTGAATGCGGCTCCTCACATCTTAACTCTTACTCTTTTTTCCCTGAATAGTCTTGAGTTCCCTTATAAATTGCAACTCCTTAGACACTAGAGTTCCCATGATAGAATGGGACAGCAATGAATAGGCATCTTACCTCCTCCTGATGAAGTGCACGAGTTATGCAGTCAGCAAGATCCTCTTTGTCCCGGGGTATCTGTCTGCCATCCGACAGTTTAACCGTGCTTCAGGTCACTGGTTCGGGTGCCACTTGACCCGTCCCTCGGGTCCAGTTATTCCAGGGTCTGAAGAGGTACTGCCTGAATCATGGGCGAGAGAAAGAAAGGAGACCAAGCAAGATTCTGTTGTCAAGGTCTCACTTTATTGAGGGAATAATAAGACTTAAATAGGGATGTGGCAAGGAGGGAATGTAGAGGGAGGGAATGAGGAGGGAGAAGGGAGCAAGGCCGCTGGCCGTGGGGCTCCCGGAATGGACCTTGGGGCCGCATGGAGGAGGAACTGAGGAGGGAACAGGGAGTTAGTGCACCTGGTGTTTTGCATAAGGCTATCTAAAAAATGCCTGTTGCCTGAAAACCTCCTATGTTTCTTGTCCTCGGAGCTGCTTATCTCTTCTAGGAATAGAACAGCTAGTGGTGGCAATTGCCAGGTGGCAAGTCCTTCAAGGACCTGTAGTTTTCCACTGCTCTGAATGGCCCCTTAACTTATGGCTCCCAACATGTATCCATCCCCAGAATGTTTTCTTGCAGTGGAGAAATACATGCCAGATACTCTTGGGAGTAGTAACTCCCCATCCAAGGAACCAGCTTAGTCCCTTTTATTTATATTATCTTATTACCATATCCATCCACTGTTGCTCACTGTCCCTTATACTTTTTGGGGTTGCCATGAATTAAGGTAAACTGAACTCTAGTATTTACCAAAGCCCCCAAGTAACTTGAACATTCTTGGGGGACCAGTAGATTCATAACTCTACATATGGCCCTCACTTGTAGGTGATCTTGGCCTCTCCATCAGAGGAGTGGTGTGGGTGGCTCCCACTCTGGGATACCTTCTTTTTCATAAAAGGTGCTGTGGGGATCATCTGTACCTCCATGTCTTTTTTTCCCCCTTTGGTGAACTGCTAGTCAGGATTTAAGGCAGTGGTTTTCAGCCTTCATAATTCTGTGCCTCTTTAATATAGTTTATTATGATGTGGTGACCCCCAACCAAAAAATTATTTTTGTTTCTACTTCATAAGTGTAATTTTGCTACTATTGTAAAATGTAATGTAAATATCTGTGTTTTCTGATGGTCTTAGGCCATCCCTTGGAAAGGGGCTTTAGACCCTTTAGACCTTCAAAGGGGTTGTGACCCATAGGTTGAGAACCACTGCATTAAGGCCTTTCAAAGACTCACAAATACAGAAAGTTGACTTGCTATCAGTATTTTCCCTACGAACTCTGGTTTGGCACATTTGTCTTTGGGTGATTCAGATAGGACCTTGCCTGTTTACTCTCCTCTGCTCTTCCCATATGATGGTCTAGATCACCAGGTGCCAAAGCCTCTCCTTCATAAAGATTCTGTCCCACCATGGGGCTCAGCTAAGCTACTAAATTGCATTAAATAAACATAGTTCTGTCTGGTCCATAGTTCTGTCTTGTCTCATTCCTAGTTTCCTCAATAGTGCCTGTCCCTCTGCTGTTTTTTTTTTTCAATTTTTATTTCTTTATTTTTATTCCTGGGCATTTATGGGGACTTTAGATAGAGATAACTAAATGTTCCCAATGGCTCTGATAAGCCAGTCCATTAAAGGTTGATTTCCCTCATACAGTCTCAGGTTACACAGCTTTTGCCTTATAAAAATTATAGGAGAGTTATAGTCCCCAGTTTTTCTGCCCCCACAGCAGTCAGACTGATCCAGTTTACTCCCATGTCCCACAGCCTTACAATTCAGGCTGTGACAGGCTCTTTCATTGTTTTTTAAAGAGTATTCCCAATTCCAGCAGCTCAGGTGCTGAATATTCCCTGATTACCATAGTCTCTTGCACTAGACGATTGTTAATGCCTCTATCTTCATGCTGGACTATAGATTTTCTCTTTATTAGAGATTGGATATGAGGGGTATCTTTTATTGCTTTTACCATCTTTTCCTCACTTTTGGAATCTTCCGGTGGGCTCCAAGTTCATGGAGCCCAAGAAGGGCTTTTGAGCATAGATGTAACTGTACTCTCTCCCTTTCGGTTCCAGAACCTTAAGTGGCAAGTCAACACTTCTATTGCATCCTCTTGTTTCTTTATTTTACTTGCCAAATAGAGACTAACATGGAAGATGCTAGCTGCATCCCCTTTTCTTGTTGCAATCACTCCTTTACAGAAACAAGTTCCTGCTTGGTAACCACCTGGCAGAGGCCAGGCAATCTCCACTCCTGCTTGCTGGCAACCTTTTTTTTTTTTAATCATTTTTTATTTGAATTAGAAAATAGGTTGATTTACATGACAATCCCAGTTCCCTTCTTCCTTCTTCCCGTCCTCCCATACCACCCCCCTCCAACTAAAACCCTACCTGTCACATATCCTTTCTTCTATTCTTCACCTGACTCAACCTTTCTGCTCCCTTATGACCTCTGCATTTGCTGAAATCTTGACCCTTGTGCTTGTGTGCTAATCTCAGAGACTGCAAAATTTCCTCTAAACCTTTAACTGCTTTTAGAGCAATTCCATGTCCCTCATCAAGCAGGTTTGCTGCCCCATACTGCATAGAAAAACACTGCAATCCTAGGGTTTCTCTCACAGACACACTTAGTCCTGATGGCTCAGCCATAACTGCATGTCTCACTACCTATTGCAAGAACCATGTAACTGCTGTCATAGCACAAAGGCACACTAACATACACATACAGGAAAGGACAACTCTATAGAATTTCCTCCACATGTGCTCATCCATCCAGGTTTGCCAACCTTAGTTGCATTCCTTGGTACCCATAGCCAGAATCATACACTCACTCTTCTCTAACTCATCTTTGGTTCTGATGTGTCCCTGTTCAGGTCCAATTCTTTGCAGGTTGACTTCTTTTTGTCTAAGAGGGACTTCCCTTCCTGGTGGATTGTGATTGGGACATGTAAACTGAAATAAATACTTTCCTCCCAAGTTGTTTTTGCTTATGGTATTTCATCGCAGTAATAGGGACCCTAACTATGATACTGAGCCTGGGCAAGTCATCAGAATTATTCAAGTGTTTCTAGTAGTTTATGATTTCCAGCAGTGTCTGTAAGCTGAGCTCAATTATATTTCTCTGAATATGCATGTTTCTCTAGATTTAGGATGCCAGTTTTTCCTGAGACTTGAGTTGGTCTGTTAGGACCAAGAAAGGTAATTCCCCTCCCTCCCTCCTTCCCTCCTTCCCTCCTTCCCTCCCTCCCCTCCCTCCCTCCCTCCCCCCCTCTCCTCCCGTCCTTCCTTCCTTCCTTCCTTCCTTCCTTCCTTCCTTCCTTCCTTCCTTCCTTCCTTCCTTCCTTCCTTCCTTCGAGACAGGGTCTTACTATGTAGCCTTGGCTGATTTGGAACTCACTATATAGACCAAGCTGGCCTCAAACTTATAGAGATCTGTCTGCCTCTGCCTCCCAAGTGTTGGGATTAAAGGCATTCACTGCCATGGCTGTGTTTAATTTTTCATATATTAAATTCCTTTGTTGGAAGGATGGTGGGTCAGGGTCATGCTGTATGTATCTCAGAACTAGAACCTAAAGTCTGATTAAGATATACTTAGTTGGTTTCAAATTTTAGTTCATATTAATAGTGCTTAGTGAATGTTTCATATAGGTCTTATTCTTTAGATGTATACCAGAGCAACTTGGATTTCTTATGTTTCAAGGTTGTATGTTTATATTAGCTATTATCTTTCCCTAGTTACAAAACTGTTTTATCTATTTCAAAACCATATACCCATAAACTTTTTTCTGTGATCATGGCTGTTTGTGTGGTTTGTTTGTTTTAGAGTAGTCTAAATTTTGTAGTAAATTATTCAGAAAGCTAAAGTGATGTGCTTTCTCTTGGTTCATTGCTGTAATTTTTTCACTGTTCTGTAATATATTTGAAGAAATTTTATTTTTCAGTAGGTTCCAGGAAGAAGGTGCATTTTGGTAGCATACATGATGCAGTACGGGCTGGAGATGTCAAGCAGCTTTCAGAAATAGTGGAACGTGGAGTCAGTCTTAATGAAGTTGATGTTCTCCATCAGTTTACCCCTTTACATTGGGCAGCACATTCTGGAAGTTTGGAGGTAAGTCTATAACTACTGTTAAGCTAAAATGAATTGACAATGATAGTTTAATAAATTTAGTACAGGGATAAGACTTCATGTTTGACACTCAAAAATAATCTTTTCAGTTCAATCTGTTATCTGAGTGCTCTTTAGTAAGGCTTCCTAACAAATTATCCCAAAATGTAGTGTTGTAAAGTAACGATTTTTAATGCTCATGAGTGAACTAAGAAGTTGAATTGTAGTGACAGCTTGTCTTTGCTCCACAATGACTGGGGTTTTAGTTAGAAGACTTGAAGAGTACAGCTGGGGATATAGCTCAATGGTAGAGTACCTGCCCTGTGTACCTGAGACCCTATGTTCAATCTCAAGTACTGAACTAGTGTGCTGAGGCTGTGATAGTCTCCTCATTAGTCACTTCATTCACTCAGCTGTCTAATGGTTAATGCTGGCTAGAAGCTTAGTACTTTATTTCCAAGTAGATGTTTTGCAGACTTATCTCCATGGGGTTAGTTTGTGCTTCTTTACAATATGGTGACTAGGTTCCAAAGACAACCAGAGAGGCTAACTTGTAAAGCATGACAGTAAACCTATGCTCATGTTCTGCATAAACTTTAAAGTCCCAAAGTGTTGTGCATTTTTTTTTTTTTGCTCTTTTACTCTATTACTATTTTGGCTTTTGGGGGCCCCACCACCCAGTTCCCAAATAAATCACACACAGAGTCTTATTATTACTTACAAATTTCCAGGCTTTCTTGGCTTGCTTCTTGCCTTCCACCCACCCACCCACCCTTCCTTATTCTCCTCCCTCCCTC